TCCAGAGATATGTAATTGTTAGGGGGTAACACATGAAAATATGAAGTAACATTTGATCTGTCCTATTTTCCAGCACTGACTGAAGTATTCCTGGAGTTTTTCCCCTCCCACTGGCTTTTTTCTTGTCCAGTAGCAGCAATTTTTGGAAATTAAATTTCCCACAGTCCCAATGGCTTCCCCACAACAAAAGGGATTCCATGGAAGTTTTGAATCTTCCAAAGGGATCAGAAATTCTTTATTTCTGAAAAATCACCATGACTGAGGCCATCATCAGCCTTACATGGCATAACCCACTATGATGATGGCTGGAATCCTGTTGACTTAGCATAGTGACACACTAGGGTAGGCGTACTGAATCAGTGGAGATTTGATAAGTCAGTTCCTCTGTAAGTTCCATTGATTCAAATGAGCCTACTCTAGTTGTGACTTACGATGTTGAAGTACCATATTTTTCTGTGTATAAAATGACACTTTTCCCTAAAATAATTAGAGGAAAATTTGAGGGTTGTTTTATACACAGAAGGGCAGCAGCAGAAAACGGAGACTGAGTCAAAGAAGCAGCTGCACTGGGCCACCTCTTGCGGCTGTCCATTGACTGTTGCCAGCGCTGCCCAGTCACCCTCTCCAGCGATTGTCTCCTTGTGATTGGGCGGTGGCAGTAGCAGTCAATGGGAAGCAGCGAGAGGCAACCGAGCCCAGCTACTTCTTTGCCTCAGTGTCCACCTCCTGCTGCTGCTGCCTCCACCACTGGTTGCCAGCTCAGTGATCAAGCCCTTTGATACTTGCTTTTCCCTTCCTTCTGCTAAGCCTTGAGTTAGGAAGTGGCGGGAAAGCAGCGATAAAATTTTCTAATTTAGGTTTGGAAAAGGGGGGATGATCTTATACATCAGGTCATCTTATGAACAGAAAAATACGGTAAGTTGCAACCAGACTAGGCCCATTTGAATCAATGGAACTTACAAAATAATTAGCTCACCAAATCCTCACTCATTCAGAGAGTCTACGCTACTTCAGTACTATGGTAAATCCATTGAAGCACTGTTAAAATATCTAAGTTAGCATTTAGTAGTTTGATGATCTTATACATCGGGTCATCTTATAAACAGAAAAATACGGTAAGTTGCAACCAGACTAGGCCCATTTGAATCAATGGAACTTACAAAATAATTAGCTCACCAAATCCTCACTCATTCAGAGAGTCTACGCTACTTCAGTACTATGGTAAATCCATTGAAGCACTGTTAAAATATCTAAGTTAGCATTTAGTAGTTTCCTTGAATGATGCTCATTTCTTTGGAGTGGCTAACTATTGTCTCACTAAAATTCTGGTTAGACAAAGTCAATGCCTTATTTTTCTTTCTGTCTCTCTCTGTGGAGCTGTTAATAATCAGAAGATTATTTATGTGGTGTGAAATCTGGGTAGGAAAAAATGCATTACAGTTATAGCTAGCAAGCAAGCATGAGAGAGAGTTGCTTGATTAAACTTTTTCTGAATAATAATGTAAAGCATGATGTAAAATGATTCTACTTAAAACAAACCCATCTTGGTTGCTTCCTTTTTTTGTTGTCCTGTAGATATGGCTTTTATTCAGGCAGGCTAAGCTGATCTGTTGCTGAAGGAAATTTTAATTGATTGGGTGCTGACCATATATTTTCTGGCATTTTAGTTATTTTACTTTACTGTTAAAATTTTTATTTACAATTTTATTTTCCCTCTTTGAATGTTGTGGTTGATAGAAAAGTACAGCATAAATTTTAATACATTTAATTAGAAGTTGTAGACAGTAATTTCATATCTATACCAGAGCACAGATTGCTGTCCTCTGAAGATGCCGGCCACAGAGACTGGGGAAAGGTTAGGAAGAACAACCTTCAGAACACTGCCAAAGAGCCCGAAAAACCCACAACAACCATTAGATCCCGGCCCGTGAAAGCCTTCGCGAATACAAATTTCATATCTCTTGCTGTCTGTCTACTCCTTGGCTTACTTGAAAATGGATTGCCTTTCACACTCCCTTTTTCATACCTGGGTGGGAGGGACAGATTGACTATAAAAAAAAAACAGAACAAAGACTGAGTTGTGAATATAAATTTTGTAGGGGAGGAATTAAACAGCATTGATCGCCCTGCAAGATGATCTCCTGAGGGAGACTGACAGGGGCAATATGTCCTTGTTGGTCCTCAATATCTCAGTGGCCTTTGATACCGTCAACCACTGTAGCATCCTGGGGCGGCTCTCCGAGTTGTGAATCGGTGGCCTCGCTTTGGCGTGGCTCCGTTCCTTCTTGGAGGACCGTCCCCAGAGAGTGCAGCTTGGCGAGATGACTTCCATCTCATGGATCCTCAATTGTGGGATTCTGCAGGGGTCTATCTTCTTGCCAATGCTATTTAATATATAAATACAGTGGTGCCTCACTTGACGACAATCCGTTCCAGCGAAATCGCTGTAGAGCGAAATCGTCTAGCAAAAGTAAAAAGCCCATTAGAATGCATTAGAAACTGGTTAATGTGTTCTAATGGGCAAAATACCTGATCATAAAGCGAAGATCCTCCATAGGATGGCCATTTTCTGCTCCCTGTAGAGCGAAGAATCTGTCCCTAACACAGCAGGGAGCCATTTTGCACAGCGGGTGGCTATTTTGGAAACCCGACGTTGATCGTCGTTAAGCGAAAAATCGGTTCCCAAAGCAGGGAACTGATCATCGTAAAGCGGATTTTCCCCATAGACACATTGTTTTGCAATCGCAATAGCGATTGCAAAAACCTCATCATACAGTGGATTCGTCATACAGCGAGGTAATTGTCAAGCGAGGCACCACTGTATATATATGAGGCCGCTGGCGAGGTCATCTGGAGTTGTGTGGCCCAGTGTCATCAGTACATTGATGACACCTAGCTCTACCTCTCCTTTTTTCCTATTGCAGTGGATTCTGTTTGAACGAACACTGCTTGGGCACCGTTCTGGAGTGGATGAGGGCAAATGGACTTAGGTTGAATCCGGACAAGATGGAAATCTTGCGCATGGGCGGCTCTGACATCAATGAATTGAGAAACGTCCTCTCCTTTGTGGGAGTGACTCTTTCCACAAAGAGTGAGGTTTGCACCTTGGGCATCTGCCTGGACCCGGATCTCACAGAAATCCAGGTGGCATCTGTGGTCCGGGCAGACCATTTCCATCTTCAGAGGATTGCCCAGCTGTGTCCTTATCTAGACATGGCCCCTGTAAGCTCAAGAATAGACTACTGCAGTGCTCTCTACATGGGGCTATCCTTGAAGCTGATGCAGAGGCTTCAACTGGTCCAGAATTCGGCGGCCAGATTAATAACTGGTTGAAGAAATTCCAGCACATCTCCCTCACTCTGGCTGCCCTTCATTGGCTACCGGTTCGTTTCTGCATCAATTTCAAGGTTATGATGATAACATTCAAAGCCCTAAATGGTTTAGGACCTCCGGTACCTGTCAGAACGCCTGCTCCCAGCCAGATCTGTCCATAATACCCTGTTTCCCCAAAAATAAGACCTAACCTGAAAATAAGCCCTAGTATGATTTATCAGGATGCTTGTAATATAAGCCCTACCCCAAAAATAAGCCCCAGTTAAGTGAAACCCCACCCTCCACCATTGTGCAGCCACCAGAAGAAGATGACATAACTGTCTTTGAATAAATGTAGATAGTTGAACATTGAAAAAATAAAACATCCCCTGAAAATAAGCCCTATTGTGTTTTTTGGAGCAAAAATTAATACAGTACAAGACCCTGTCTTATTTTCGGGGAATCACGGTACCTGTTCTTTACTGGCAGGGAGGTTGAGGGCCTTGACCCCGAAGGAGGCCCAGAGGGAAAGAACAAGAAATCAGGCCTTCTTGGCGGACGTCCCCCGCCTATGGAATAACCTGCCTATTGAGATCTGCCTGGCATTCTCGCTAGATGGGTTGAAAAGACCTTTGAAGGACCTGGCTTTTCCACCAGGCTTTCCCAGAGAATCAAGATCTCGGCCTCCCTTTTACCATTGTTTTTGAGAAGGGACAACAGAGGACGAGATGGTTGGACAGTGTCATCGAAGCTACCAACATGAATTTGACCCAACTCCAGGAGGCAGTGGAAGACAGGAGGGCCTGGAATGCTCTGGTCCATGGGGTCACAAGGAGTCAGACACGACTAAACAACTGAACAACAACCATCACCCTTTTTACCACCTTCATTGCCATCTGTTTTAATTTACATTATTTGGTTATGTATTAATTCATTTTTTATTGTGTTTTAATATTCTTGCTGATATTGTTGTTAGTTGCCCACAGTGGCCTAGTTGCCAGATGGTGCGGGATATAGATTCAATACATAAATAAAATAAATAAATAAAATAAACTGTAGAGTCGACCTTTGCAGGAGGGGGCAAGGGAAAGGCTGTCATTTTTGTAGTATCTGGTATGGATGACATAATTTCAGGAAGCAGGAGGCCCTTTTGCAGCTGAAGGCAGTGTTATTAAGAGCAAGTCTGCTGTACTACATCAAGTGTGAGACTAGGACTCAGGAGACTTGGGTACAAATTCGTGCTCAGCCATGGAAACGCAATAGAAGTGGCAAAAGTAAACTTCAAACATCTCGCATGCCTTGAAAACTCTGTTGGGGCACCACCTAACTTATTAAGCAGTCTAAATGGGCTTTTGTCCTTAAAAATAACTATAAAGATTTAAAATAAAATTAATGAATACACTTTCTTTAAACAAAAAAAATTACTTGGAATTGTTCACTAGCAATATGTTTTGCAATATCTGTTCAGAAAAAAGGGAGTGAGCTTTCTGAGTTTAAAAGGGCTGAAAATGTAAGATAGATGCCGTGTTCCCTCAGCTGTTCCAAGGATCAGTGCATAGGAGCATGTGAGGCACATTAGGGGGGATGCTTCTTATGTTGATGCGCTAAAAAAATTACTGGTGTATTTACACATTCAATAATCTTGCACTACAGTAAATATAAAATATTTCCTGTGTGTCTCTTCATAGAAAGCAACAAAGAAAACTGACAAACCAAGACCAGAAGAGCAGGATGATATTGATGTTACAGAGCTCACTAATGAAGAACTGAAAGATCAACTTCTGAGATATGGTGTGAATCCAGGTCCTATTGTGGGTAGGTTAATATTGAGAAACTGCATAAATAATGTGTATTTTAAAAACCTTAAGACAAAAAGTGATGGAGAACAAAGCAAAGGTGTAAGTTTGTACAGTGGTACCTCAGTTTACAAATGCCTTGGTTAATGTAATTTTCAGTTTATGAAGCAAACTTAGTTTTGGTTTACTTTTTTTCTGGGTTTTTCGGACTACGAAGAAAGTTTCCCCAGGATGCATTGTGCCTTGAGGTTTGTATTGCCTCTCCCGTTCATATTTTCCACATTATGTAACGTTCCAGAGAATGCATTACATTCGTAAACTAAGGTACACCTGTATATAAACATTTGCTACTTCTATGGGTTAAATACATTGTGCTACTTAGTGGCATACTGTTTTAAGCTCTGTTATAATCACTTTCATTATCTTGATAACAGACCAATCCCACGACTGCTATCAGAACTAGAAGTGGTTCACATCAGCACTACAGCTCCCTTTATTATTTTGGCTGCTTTCAGAATGCTCAGATCCATACATTTTCATTCATATAGGGTATGAACAATTATTTGTCACATCATATCATTGTGCAAGGCACTAAGAGTTATTTCAAATTAGCATGGTGGAAACAAAGGCTGCTTTCTTACATAATTCATCACAGTATAAAAAGGATTTCCACATTGTTCAAAAATGAGAAATTAGTATATTTTAATAGTGTTGGTGGCACTATTAAGGTACAGTACTGATAATTGAACAGTCCCAGGGTGCCCCCAGAAGAAGGATATGGAAAAACAATTTTGAGTACCCTGTACCTGGAAAACCATGAAAAGGGGCTACTATAAGTCAAAATTGACTTGATGGTAATTATTGTAATTATTACAAGAATACATTTTAGCTGAATTTTAGCCAAGCAGTTTTCTTAACAGTAGCTAGACACATGACATATCTGTGGTCTGCTAAAGTAATCTTCACCTGGCTTTAGTTTCCCCAACCCCCTAATTTCATTGTAGATTGTGTATAGTTATGCTATGTATTTTTCAGACAGTTACAAGAAACATACAGATAATAAATTTGTGTGAGAATGATATGGTCACAGATGCCCCTGTCATTGTGCTGTCATGCTCCAACCATGGAACTGAGGCTACGACCCAGATGGCTAGCCAGATGATTTCACCCACACTGGGAGTTGCCGAGAGTCCGCAGGGCACTGTGGCCTTAACAACAAGCCCTTTCCGACGTGCCAGAAAACCAGCTGAGACTACAATGGTTCTGTCAGTCCTGGTTGCTGGAGGATGGTTTATGGGAACTGATCTACTGGTGGATGAGGCAGAAACATGGCAAGACATTGAGCTACTAAAGTAGTTTTGCTGCCAAGTGAGGCAGAAACATGGCAAGACATTGAGGGGGACAACTGTTAGGTGGAGGAAGAGCTAGGTCATGGCAAGGGACATCCAGTCACCCAGGAGATACTCTTATGCTCAGGGCTTGAAAAATCCACTTGTCTGTGACGAGTGAAAAAATGCTGCTTGACGAGCCACAGCACCCTCACCCTCAGTTCATCTCTCTCTCTCTCTCTCTCTCTCTCTGATCATGCAGTCCTGTCCTCCCCCTTCCCATTGCAAAAGGAAAAACAGTCTTCTTCTTGTGAGAAGAGAGTTCAAAATGCACATAGATATATAGTTCTGCAGGAGACTGTAGAGTAGTCCCATGCTGGAGAATATGGAGATTCCCTGCTTCCAATTTCAGCCAAACGACCTGGCTCCTTAAGAGGCTGGGCGCTTTTGCTTTCAGTTTTATTTTTGTTGGAGACATTCAAAAGAAAGGCATTAAAAATACAAAACTCATGACCCCACAGGCACACAGGTAATAAAGCAACCCAAGTCTGAGAGCATATTTATTTTGGGTTTGCACACATTGTTATGTAGAAAGTGCCTAGTTTAAATTTAAATTTAAGTTTAAACATAAATTGCAAGGCTATAGTCCAGTCATGCTGACTGATGAAATTTTTGACTGACTGGTGAAACATTCTAAAATTTTTCAAGCCCTGCTTATGCCAAAGGGAGAGGTAGATGCCCCGTGCCAGAGGGAAAGATAGATACACGGGAGTCAGAAGGGATGATAAGTGCCCTAGTGGAAGAGAAAGAACCCCTTCAGATAGTGAGAGAAGTTTCAGAGGGGGCAGTCTCTTGACCCAGGAGGTTGGAACTTTTTTGTTGACAGGCATACGCCAACTTGAACTTCTTGTCCATGCTGATGTAGCCAGTGTTTTCATCCTTTGTTGTAGCTACTACAAGAAGGCTATATGAGAAGAAACTACTGAAGTTGAAAGAATCAGGTCAAGAGCTAAGTTCTTTCATACCACCTCCAACTGTTTCTTCATCTGCAGAAAACAACAAACAGAATGGAAATGATGACTCCGATCAATACAGTGACAATGAAGAAGGTATAAATAATGCAAGATGAGTGAATAGTTCTTAAAACTAGAGAACTCTGTACAGTAAGACTGGTAATAACAGATTTGTGGGCTTTTCCTATACTTGACGTAATTACTGATTGTCAGATGAATCAAATCAGTGACTGTGGATAGCTATAGTCCCATAGATTTCATTGAATCTGAAGTATGAATCTGGAGCAGATTTAGTTTATAGAAGTTAATGCTCAACTGAGATAAGTAATCCTTAAGTAAATACAGAATCTGTGTTTTTGGCCATTACATTCTACGAGTGGTATGGAGAATTGCAAAGGGATAGAAGAGGAAGTGCATAGGTTTCAGGCTGGACTCTCACTTTTTGTTTGTTTGTTTGCCTCCATCTGGCTTCAGATTTTCATTTAGTATTCTTCCCATAAGAAAAATACTGATGGCTTATCATTAGAACAATACTGATGTTTTCAACAGCTAGCTATGTGACCGTTTATCAGAACTGTTGAATGTAAGAGATTAGCAGCAGTTTCTATACCTGTCTATTCAGAGTGAATTTAGTCTTTATTCAGTGCAGCTTACTCCTAGAAAGTGTGTTTAAAGTTTTGAACCAGTTTATTTACCCTGTTTTCCTGAAAATAAGCCCAGTATGATTTTTCAGAATACTCTTAATATAAGCCCTATCCCAAAAATAAGCCCTAGTTAAGTAAACCTCCACCTTCCACCATTGTGCAGCAACCAGAAAATGACATGACTGTATTTGAATAAATGTACTGTAGATTGTTGTACATTAAAAACAATCCCCTGAAAATAAGCCCTAAAGTGTTTTTGGAGCAAAAATTAATATAAGACCCTGTCTTATTTTCGGGAAAATACGGTAATGAACTAGACCTGAATAAAATGAGAATAATTTAAAATGAGAATCATTTTAAAAAACAACCTATTGGGTAAAATGGTATTAAAGGCAGAGCTATAAGCCACAAACAACAGCCTCACATAAGTTCCCTGTTATTCTAAGTGACTCAGTACAGTATGGAGAACAAGGGACATAGCATCATCAGTAGATCTATTTCTCCTGTGTGCAAATTGCCATGGGTCCAAAGAAGGTGGAAGACTAGCATTAATGTAATCCGGCACCAATCTCTCAAAATATTTCATAACAGATGTTCAAGCTACTGGTCTATAGTTATTGAGAGATACCGCAGCTGATTGCTTAGGGAATGTCTTCAAGCAAGTGGGAACAGAACACTGCAACAAGGATAAATTGAAAATATCCGTAAAAAGACCAGCTAATTCTGCAGTGCAGCCCCTATTTTTATCTGTCTATCTATTTATTTATTTATTTAACTCGTCCCATGATTCCATTTGGTCCAGCTGCTTTTCTAATGTTAATATTCTGGAAAGCATGTCTCACATCTGAAATCTGCAGTAGTAGTGGTTGTCTGTCGATGGTAGATTCTAGTGATATACTATAGATAGTAGGTGTTGGAATAATGGTTGTTCCTGTTTCCACCTCAAAATAGTTGAAGAATTTATTTAACTGCTCAGCCAAAAAGTCACTGCTGCTAAACAGACTGTTTTTGTTACTCTGCCCCGTGATTTGTCACAGACCATGCCATACCCGACGAGTGTCAGAGCTCTCAAGATGTTGCTCAGTCCTCCGACTGTACATAGCTTTGGCATCCCTAATACCTTTTTTCAATTTAGCTCTGGCCCCTCTATACTGTGCCTTTTTGAATTCAGACTAAGGTCTAAATCCAACATGAAGAGCTAGTGGTTTTCCCCTCCCATTGCAGGTCCCCCGTCATTTCTGCTAGATTGTGTCAGGGGAAAAATATGTTGTTGGGTCATCTATATAATTTGGAACTTACAGTTGTAAACAAATAATGATTTTTATTTATTCATAGATCCCAAAACAGAATTCAAACTTGAGAAGCGAGAACCTCTGAAGGGTAATGCAAAGGCTTCAGTAACCCTCAAACAGAGAAAAATTGCTGAACATAACCAGGTAATATTGCAACAATTTGCACATCAAGAATTTCTGTACAGAATCAAAATTTTCTCTCTGAAGACATTGATTAATTAACATGAATGTATTTGAATGAGTTATAGGCACTAGAAAGTTATTGATCAATAGCCACCAAATTGCATTTCTTATAGTACAGGATAGGGTGCAATAAAATCCCAAACAGCTGTATTTCATGGATTAAAACAATGATCATTTAATATTTAAAATGTTTCACATAAGAACCATTTATGAAATCTAAAATAATTGGGATTACGATAACCTAATTTTCTCTGGTTCTGTCTTCTGAGGGAAGGTTTTCCCTTCCTCCCTATCTTTTCTCAATTTGTTCTTTATAACTTTGGTGTTTTGGTTTAAGAATAGCTTTTCTTATAATTCTGACAGTTTAGGACTAATGAAGGCGAACAACTTGTTTAGAATAGAAACAGTATACTCATCTGGACTAACTTTGTATGTCATTAGCGGACAGATTTTATAAGATAAAAGATTAGGGGGGACTGGCTGCATGAGGATTGGTTAAATGTTTCTTGACTAACATATAGGAATCTTTGTCAGATTCCCAAAACAGAGGACTGTCCCTTTAATTACGTATTATGTAGAACACAAAGACTCTACATTTATAAATAATCAGAAAGTCAAACATTTAAAAGACAACTATCAAAGAAGTGCATTTGAATCTATGTAAGAATATAAATAGTCTTCCATTACTCTGTTTTGCCTAACAAGTCCATCCTGAACTCTGCAGCACTTTTCCAAATTTTGTAAAGTTGCTGTGGTATGAGGAGTGAAATTTATTTTTTTAATAGGAACTTGTTGTTATTTTGGTTGGTGCAGTGTTCTCTGAAGATACATAGGTTTTAGAATGTGGTGGGAAAGAATAGCATCACTTTTTTCCATACTCAGAATTCTTTTCTTTAGGCATTCACCATTTGTGGGTTTTTTTGGGACAATACCTCATGCCTGTAATAGCAACAAGATCAAAAATGTATCTCAGGCCTGTCCACTGTACTATTTCCTGGTGTTTTTATTTGCTAGATTCATTTGGCTAGAAAATACAATTTGTAGGATGTTATCTGGTCATTTTTTAGTTATTTCATTTTTCTGTGCATTATGCTACCGTGACCTGTGAATAAGGTACATACAGTGGTGCCCTGCTTGATTACCCCGCTCCATGACAAATCCGCTTAACGATGAGGTTTTTGCAGTTGCAAAACAATGTTTAAATGGGGGGATCCGCTTTACGACGATTGGTTCCCTGCTTCGGGAACCGATTCTTTGCATTACAATGGTTTTAAAAGAGCTGATTGACGGGTCGCAATATGGCTGCCCACTGTGCAAAATAGCTGCCCGCTGTGTTTTAGGACTGATGGCCACCCTATGGAGGATCTTCGCTGGACGGTGAGGTATTTCGCCCATTGGAATGCATTGAACGGTTTTCAGTGCATTTCAATGGACTTTTTACTTTCGCTTGACGATGATTTCGTTCTACAGCGATTTTGCTGGAACAGATTATCGTCGTCAAGCGAGGCACCACTGTATAAGTAAATATGCTTAGGATTCTGCAGTTAAGTTGGTAATAGCTTATTGTCCCTTATTCTACAAGAGCATACTCAAGAATTTGTGCCTCTTACTTAAAGCAGACTTTGCACCCAACCCTGCAATTGGATTTCTTTGGTTTTATAGCATGTGGTTTAAAATATTCTTTGGCTTTCTTCAGGGAGCAATTTGTTTCTGAAATATTTTCCTCTTCATTCAGAAACAGAATGCTAACAGTTTAAACCCTGTTCTTTAATAGCGATAAACAATGTAGTCCTACAAGACATAGTAACTCGTACAGTTGAGCTCCTTTAAAAAGAAAAGGGGTTTCATTTAACTAGGGCTTATTTTTGGAGTAGGGCTTATATTACGAGCATCCTGAAAAATCACAGTAGGGCTTATTTTCAGGTTAGGTCTTATTTTAGGGGAAACAGGGTAATACTATGTTCCCGTTTGTATTCCTTACATATTTTAATCAATAATCAATTGTATAGCTGTGTGCCTTCAAGATAGAAATATTTACAGTTTGCATTTTAGCTTCTATACTATCAAAATCCTAACATAACCAAGAACCCTGTAAATAATTTAGGTATGGAATAAGGTAAATTAGTTATGACACTTAAGACAATAATAGATTACAGTATGTGCTTTTTTCTTAGCTAGCCAACACTTATGTATAATTACCTTAAGAGGTAAAGTAGCATAAAAGATATGTATGGAACTTAAAAGTCTCCCTGTAATTTGCTTGCAAGATTCTGGGGCATTAGGTGAACAATCATCCGGTGTAAATATGTATAGCATTCACATACTTGCTAATATGTTTGATGCTTAAATAGAGCTATTCTCAGGATGGAGATACTGAAACATTCTGGAGAAGTGGATCTTCAAAAAGTGGACTTCTGCAGGCAGTTTCTAGGGAATCTGCAAGAGTATCAAGAAGAACACCAAGGAAAAGGGTGATGCAAGGCTAATTTCCAATCTAGATTTTTATTTTCCTTATTCTTAGGGCCCTAGTAGCAACTTTACACTTATTTGCTATGTTTTTGTTTCTAAACAAACAGGTTGAAGCTACAGTACCGTTGCCTGTACATGATCCAGTAATATCAGAAAGTATTCCCATAGCTGATACTGTAACAGCTTCAAGCAACAAGACCCTAGTAAATATATTGAATTTGCAAGAGGTGGTATTCTATAATCTTCCTCTCCCTGGAAAACTTAAATATACCTTCTTTCTTGGAAAAATGAGATTTAAACAATATTCGTGCCTGTGGTTTACTTCAGACACAAACTAAAAGGAATTAAAAAACAACCAACTTTGATCTAGTGGGGATGGGGTGACTCTAAATAGCAGTTGTTTTCTTTCCAATTTAAGGTCTGTCAGTTTTGTTTTAAAATTACAAAGCTGGAATTTCTGAGAATCTTCTCCCATATAAACTTATATAGTTGGGGGGGGGATTACTTTTTTTCTCCTTAATTCTGAGTTTGAACAATTTAAATTTCAGCAGGTTGTCAATAGAGTATCTGGAAATGTCAAGCATGCAGATCCTATACTGTCAGTCAGTGACTTCTCAGAATTGTCCAGAAGATCAGCAAAGAAATCATTGATGACAGCTGAAGTAAATAAATGCAACTTAGATTGTTGGCCAGACAAGGGATGAGGGTGTTCTCTTTATATGTAATATAATTAAATAATTACTTTGCTTCCTACTTGGTGTAACATGCTAACAGCTATTTTATAGCTATTTCCTTGCTTTAGATTACATTGTGTTTCTGGGTGGCATTTTTGCATGTATTAGCAAGTAAGATTTTGGGAATTCGGATAAGCATGGTAACTGAGTAATAGCTCTATTCTGTTCTTTTTTCAACCTTTCTACCTGTATGTCCCAACTATTATCTTGATAACTATTAACAGAATTTGGGATAGAACTACAAGCTTGCATGAACTGTTTTATAAGGTTCTGCTGTGTTTATACTTTCCACCAAGAAAAGGATGGAAAATCTATGCAAAATTGTGTGTTGTGATGTTGAATTTCAGTAACCATATGATCTGTTCACTGAGGACAGAAGTGACAACAATGCCTTTTACAGTTTTCATTTATCAAGATAGTATTGTCTGTCTTGTTGAAGGAACAAAATAATGGTACTGAAGATAACAGGATTTATTAAGTGGCTAAACACATCAAAGTAACCAAACTTTAATCAACAGCTAAACTTCATGAAACAATTTTCTTAAAATTCACTGATATGCCAGATTCTTTTCCTAATCACAGCTGCATGCTCTCCTTCCTTCTCCCTCCCTCTTTCTTTCTAGTACTGGTTTCTCGTGTAATTAAAAAGATTATAATTCCTTTTTCTTCCTTACAGGTGATGGGGAAAACCTCTACAGAGGAAAAGAGAGTGGAAAGGGATATTCTTAAAGAATTGTTTCCATATGAAGCATCGACACCTACAGGAATCAGGTAATTCTGGGTATACTTAAATAATAATGCATATACGTTAAAGCATTAAGTAATTTGATCTATCCATTAGTTCTTGGCAAGTATCAGATATTATTCTGGTGAACTCTTAGACCTTCTCATAAAGCTTAGCTTTATTAATTCAAAAGAGCTATACTTCACTTGAACTTTCTAAAAGAAAGGATATGATGCTTAATGTGATTAAAAATATGTATAACCTTAAATAAATATATTGATTCTTCATTAACAGTGCTAGTTGCCGTAGACCAATCAAGGGAGCTGCTGGTCGACCTAGAGAAGTTGGTGACTTCCGACTGGATGAAAACTACTCATCAAAATATATCCCCAAATATGTTGCCTCAGGCTCAGCAGATGTCAAACCAGAGAAGTCAACCATTAAAAAACGTTCCATTCCTTTGTGGATAAAAATCCTACTCTTCGTTGTTGTCGCAGTCTTCTTGTTTTTGGTCTATCAGTCTATGGAAACCAACCAAGGAAATCCATTCTCTCCGTTCCTTAGTATGAGGAGTAACCCAGAGAAAACGATTGGTTGAGTTGTTTTGTTTCGGTTTTTTTGTACGGCACACACAACTTGGTCTCCTGTTTTTAACTATAGAGATGTCATCCTTCCTCATCAGGTCAGAGACTATATACAGATAACAGCAACGGAGAAATTGAGACATGAAATAAGACATTAATTGGACATTACTAACTTTTTTTCAGAATTAGGAGATCACTTTGTGCCATAAGTAATATTTTTAGACCTCTCTGGAACTTCTTGTAGAATTTATTTTTTTAATGTGGACATCATTACATTCATTTGAGATTGTATATTTGATTTTCAACTTGGAAGCTCAAAAAAGGGCAAAAGTGATAGTAAAATGTGAAGATGTGTTTAAATGTTTTTACTCCATACTAAAAGGATGCTGTACTTTGCATATTGTTTTTAGAGATTGAAAGAGCTAAGATAATAAAGGGAAGTGCATTTTGATGCATTTTACTCAAATTGTGCAGCTAAGATTAGTGTGTTGTGGTTTTAATAGGAAATCCAGATTTTTTTCTGTAGAATACTGTAACATCTTAATAAATAAATTGTGAACCTATTGTATGTATTTCTGTATCTGTCTCAGTTTTAGTTGTAGTAATTCCACTTAAACTTAGTCTATTTTAATTATAGTTACCTATTTAGTGCTTATCCTCTCTAATTGCTTAACTTGTCCTTAGGAAAAAAATATTTATTAGTAAAATTGTGTGAAGTAAACCTTACATCAAACAAGTTTAATTACTTTTTTATAGAATTATTAAAATGTTGGATCATAATTAACTTGCAAGCTTCTAATCTTACTAGGAAAGGGTTATGTTCTTAAGCAAAACCTACTCTTTTCACATAACTAAACTGAATGTCATGTTTAAATTTCATTTTCTCTCCAGTGGCATTTTGTTTTAAGCGCCATCAGTGTTCATATTCTAAAACATCTCTTTTGTGTGGTATATTAAAGGGGCATTTATTACATTTCATGTGATAAAACAAAAGTTAACAAGTGCTGCTATTTTTAGTCTGCATAATTTGTTCTTGGTTGCATTTTCCAATCAAATAATTTTAGTTTATCTCTTAAGTGTGGTTTATTACATATAAAGTGAATGTATAAATTTTCAGCACACATGGGTTCTTGGTATTACTGCATATTCCATACAAAATTGCAATAAAGATTTTTAACCATAATTTCTAGTCTCATCGGAAGTTGGTATTGATGCCATAATGTATTTTGTAATGCTATTTCTTCTGCCTTAAACTATAGCAGCCTAACACTATGCAGAATTATGTACACATACAACACACTCTAAACATGTTTCTGAGAAGTCTCATTTGTATTCTGTTTACTTCCAGTGAAATGAGTACCTATTAAATCTATATACCACAATAAGTTGTGTGAGGAATTAATTTGGCATAGATGTTGAAGTTGGCAATGGTGGTATATGTATTGTAAAGTAAGTCAATTTAATGGTTGTAGTCAAGTATTAGACCATACTGAGGAAGAGCCATGGGTTAATAGAATGCTACCTTTGTGTGCAAACCGCCCAAGATTCAATCTCTGGCATCACAAGATAGGACTAGAAAATACGGTACTTATTTCTGAAACTAGAAATTCATTTAGTCAGTATAGAGCACATTAATGAAAAATGGGCCACTGTCCTGACTTGATATAACTTGTGGTCTAGGTATTTTAAATAATAAAAAGAAACACAACATCTGCTGGATAGCTCAGTTGTTTAGGTATCTGGCTGCAGAGCCAGAGGTTGGGAGTGTGATTCCCCACTTTTGTCTCCTTGACGAGCTGGATTTGATGACCCATAGGGCCCCTTCTAGCTCTGCAGTTCAAAGATGATTATATGATTATCTTGTCACACTGATGTAAGTGCTGTACTAAGAAAACCTGCACATAGAGAATACCGTTCTCATTTATACTTCAATTTCACCTGGAAAGTTCTGGATTTCTGTTAAACTGTTTTCCTAAACTACTTTGAACTGAAACATTCTAAAGGCCATGAAGGTTTTTTTTAACAACTAATTCTATAAATTATTAAAAGCACTGCAAAAATGTATTAAGGACTGGGATAAAAGTACCAGAGTCTTATCTATGAATGCCATTGTAATCAATACAGTGGACCCTCGACTTACAGATGGCTCGACTTATAGACTTTTTGGGTTTGCAGCCAGAGAATCGACTTACAGACCAGAAAAAAACCAACAGCCAGAGAATTGACTCACAGACCAGAAAAAAACCAAAATGGAACAAAAACGGCCGGTTATGGGATTAATTGGTTTTCAATGCATTGTAGGTCAATGGAGACTCGACCTACAGACTTTTCGACCTGCAGCCACCATTCCAATACGGATTAATTCTGTAAGTAGAGGGTCCGTGCTATAGATATAAAGGTTGGTATATACTCCCCATATGAATAAACATGTTCATATTGTTTACCAAGCACATTAACTCCACATCATGTGATTAAACAGTGTTCTGCTTATATACTACCCCATAGTGCTCCAAGCACACTGGCTAGTTTACAATTTTAATTATGTAGGCTATACATTCACCCCCGCTATGACAGAATAGTGTCCTAGATGACACTGGTGACACTAGCCACCCAGAGTGGTCGTAATTGACTAGATAGGCAGGATATAAATACAATAAATAAATAAATACTGTTAAACAGATTCCTGCATTTTTAATGAAAGCCATAGGAATTTCTAACATGGCTGGATAATGTATGATCCTCCAGCTATTGGACTAAGACTCCCTTCAGGCATAACAGCATAGCCAGATTGTTCTGTGGTGAGATGTGCTGTGGTCCTGTCTGGGATATTTTTTCTTGATTGTTTTATGGGATGTTGTATAGGATCTCCATGTTCATGGTGACTAGAGTTGTGTTCTCTGGCAGACTGCTGATTTGTAAGCATTGAGAGTGATATGCCAGTCCCTGAGAGGAAATTTATCCCATATAACTGAAGGCAACTGTGGTCTAAAACTGAATAGTATCTGAAATGTATGATGATTTTCTAAAACTTTGTCTTTATCTCACACTCTTCTTGCATCCATCAGTTACTCAGCTTTGCTGCTAAATAGTCAGTGACTAGGGTATATGCAGTCATGGCCAAAAATATTGGCACCCTTGGATTCTCTCAGAAAACGCAACCCTTCTCCCAGAAAATTGTTGGCAGTTGCAAACATTTTGTTACTCGGATTTTCATTTCTTAGGTTTGCGTTGGAACACAAAAAAACAGAAGAAAAATCAAATCTGATACAATCCCACACAGAAACCCAAAAATGCACTGGCCCAAATTATTGGCACCCTGTCTAAGTTGTAACTGATAATTGCTTTTCAAGCATGTGATGCTCCTTTAATTTTTATTTAGACATACCTGTCACAAGTAGTTGCAACCAGTTAAGATGGAGAAAAGTTGACTCAACCTATGTGTTGTGTGTGACACTGAGCACGGAGAAAAGAATGAAGTGTAAAGAGTTGTCTGTGGATGTGAGAGAAAAAATTGTGGAAAAACATCGACAATTTCAAGGCTTCAAGTCCATCTCCAGAGATCTTAATTTTCCTTTGTCCACTGCAATATTATCAAGAGGCTTACTGATGCTGAGCATCAGACCATTTTTGGCATGCTCTTTCACCCTCTTCATAATCCAGGGCATGTTAACAATTTGGTCTCTAGTTCCTCTGCCCCTTCGAAATCCAGTTTGTACTTCTGGGAGTTCTCCGTCCACATACTGTTGAAGCCTACCTTGTAGGATTTTGAGCATAACCTTGCTAGCGTGTGAAATGAGTGCAATTGTATGGTAGTTGGAGCATTCTTTGGCACTGCCTTTCTTTGGGATTGGGATGTAGATTGATTTTTCCAGTCCTCTGGCCACTGTTGAGTTTTCCAAAGTTGCTGGCATATTGAATGTAGCACCTTAACAGCGTCATCTTTTAAGATTTTAAATTGTTCCACTGGAATGCCATCAC